ACCCATCAATTTGCAGGTAGAATTTAAAATATAAGATAAGACCACTTGATGACTTTAATAAACTGTCTCCTTTCTACAAAATCTCTTATACTTTCGCTTTGGTTGGTTTGTGTTCCAGTGGTGGTATTTTGGGAATTTAAATAGCATTTTTCTCTGGAGTATGCACTGTGGATCTAAACAATTGTAGCCACTCTGTGTTTTCCTTTTCTAGATAATCAAATGGAGATTAAACTAAAATACTAATTTACTCCTCTCCATACAAAGTATCCTGGAAAAGAAAGAAAGACACTTAGCATGCAGTTCTTTTTACTGGGTTCTTCTAAAGTTGCATCAAGAGTAATAATGAAGTCACTGGGAGGTGTGAGATGTATCAATTTTGTGCTGAGTATGGATTTTAGAAAAATATCATTAAAATCAATATTTTCCTTATGTAAAACTGTTCTCACATAATCTAGAAAGTAAATGTGTTTATAAAATAAATGATCTTTATAATAACCCAGACTGCAAGCAAACGTTACAAACAGAAGATGATATTTTACTGAAATTTGGCTCCTAAAGAAAAAGATTTCATATTATCATTTTATATTTGTAGACTATAGCAAGAACCCCTAAAATCTGTTCCCTACTGTCTTTGAGCTTACAAAAGTATCAAAATCATTATTAATGTGTGGATAAAATGACTAACGTATCTAAAGTTTGGATCACTTTTGTATCATGTTCACGAATACAATCTCACTTGACAAAATTACTGTTGTCGCATTATTAAGAAGAACTCTGGCATCTTTGATGGTTTTTCCTGATATCTATCAGTCCTGCCATTGGCAGCTTCTTGCCTCTGCTGTATATCCTTAAAAGTATAGATAACCCAAATTCTTAATGTGATTTTTCCCAAATTACATACATTCACTAACATAAATAACAACTGTAGCCAGGAATCCAAATTAACGGAGTGTGAGAAAGAAGATTAGAGTAAGTGGCAATTACTCTTCAAGAGGCTTTCTAACAAACAGGTACAAGCCACATGGAGTAGGTGAAAATGAAATGGAGATTGAAGATGTGATGCCGTTTTCATCCGAAAATGCACTCACTCGCGAGGCAACATGTGACTCTGGACTATTCTTAGAGCAGCACAAAGTGTCAGATAATCAGTAACAATAGAAATGAATGGAGTAAAGTAAGATCAGGGGAAAAAGAGGCTGAAATACCACCTGAGTACAAGGAAGGAATTATTAAAAACTTGAAAATTAGCCTTTCAAATAGCTTCGTAGAAATGAGCCTCTGCTCGAAGATAAGAAGTAATTATAAACCATCACCAGTACAAACTAGTTGTCCACACCAGCACACGAAATGCCAGCGCATTGAGTTTAATACAAAAGGTTTGTACATTTGTTGAGATCCTCAGAGAAGTGAATACTGAGTAATGAAGTTGAAATAAGCATGCCACAATACCTAATTTGAATTGTAAAAGTCACAGCTGATCTAATTAAGTTTCATCTTTAGTTTTATTCAAAATTCCTAAGTTGTTGGAACTAAAAAAAAAAAAAAAAAAAAAAAAAAAAAAAAAAAAACAAAAAAAAAATCCAAAAAAAAAACCTTAAAATAAGGAATTTTGAATATTGGCCTCCTTCCTCACAACCTTGATTTGCCTGGGG